GGGGGCGCCCGGCCTGGCCTCCTGGCCTGGCCTGGCCTGGCTGGATGGCCTCTTCTATTCTGCCGGCGCGCCGGTACCGCCGGTGGTCTGCCCTGCTGGTGGACTGCTGGAGCCCGCGACTGTGCTGCGCCTGAGCAGCGCTGGCTGCTGTCCCCGCCTCCCCCTTCCCTGCCTCCGCCTCCTCCTCCTCCCGCAGAAGCCGGTCATGGCTGAGTGCGCGCAGCTGAGCCAGTTCGACGAGGAGCTGTACAAGGTCACAGGTGGGCGGTACGGTACCGCATGGTACCTGCAGCTGCAGCGGGGGGCAGCGGGGGCGGGGCAGACGCCGGCCAGCAGGCTTGGTCGGCCGCTGCCCTCCCTCGCCGGCCGTGTGACTGCCCTGGCCTTGCCGGCCCTGGCCCATCCCCCGCCTTCACCCCTCTGCCCGCGGTGCTGTCCCTGCAGGCGAAGGCGAGGAGAAGTACCTGATCGCCACCAGCGAGCAGACGCTGTGCGCCATGCACCGCAGAGACTGGTTTGACAAGCAGCAGGTGCGGGCGGTGCGGGAGTTGGTGGCGGCCTGGTGCCTGCGCGGGTGCACGGTTGGGCTGCAGCCGGCCTGCTGTTGAGATCATGGCGAGGTCTCTCCCCGCCCGTGCGAGGCAGCGCCACGCCGCCGCCAAGCGCTCATGCCTGCATGCCGCGCCGTGCCCTGCTGTGTACCGCAGCTTCCCATCAAGTACATCGGCTACTCCACCTGCTTCCGCAAGGAGGCTGGCAGCCACGGGCGGGACACCCTGGGAATCTTCCGGTGAGGGCGCCTGGGGAGGAGGTGGCGGTGATGTGTGTGTGTGTGGGGGGGTGTCCTGCTGGTGGTGTGATTGTGAGTGTGTAGGGTGTGTGGTGTGGAGGGAGGGGCTCGCTTGGTCCCCGCGCCCCGCCGACCCCTGCCCCCCGCCTGCCGCCTGCAGCGTGCACCAGTTTGAGAAGGTGGAGCAGTTTGTGATTGCCTCGCCGCACGACGACGACAGCTGGGTGGCGCTGGAGGAGATGATCGCCAACGCAGAGGCCTTCTACCAGGCGCTGGGCTTCCCGTACAGGTGCCTGAGGGTGGGGGTGGGGTAGCGCCTGCGTATTTGGGGTGTGTGGGGGCTGTGCTTGTGTGTGGGGTGGGGTGGCTGTGCTTGTGCTCGGGTGCGAGAGTGCGGGCTGTGTGCGTGCCATCAAGGCTGCCCCGCCTCGGCACCAACCTGCCCCGCCTGCACCGCCCCCGCAGGGTCGTCAACATCGTGTCTGGCGCGCTGAACGACGCGGCGGCCAAGAAGTATGATTTGGAGGCCTGGTTCCCCGCCTCGCGCGCCTACCGCGAGCTCGTGTCCTGCTCCAACTGCACAGACTACCAGGTGGGGCGGGGTGGCGGCGCGTGTGTGTGTGGTGTGTGTGTGAGAGGGAGAGGGAGAGTGTGAGGTGTGCATGGGAAATGGTGGGGAGGGATGGTGGTGGTGGTGGCGGTGGCGGTGGTGGTGGTGCCTGTGTGTGGCTGGGCTGCCTCCCTGAGAACCCTGTCTCGACGCCCGCTCCGCACGCGGCGCAGGCTCGGCGGCTGGACATCCGGCTGCGCAGCGCCAAGGGTCCCGGCGGCGAGAGCAAGAAGGAGTATGTGCACATGCTCAACGGCACGCTGTCGGGTGGGCGGGGTGTGGGCCCCGGGGGCCGTGCCCGCTGCGCCGCCGGCTGCTCCCTGTGGCTGGCGCATCCCCGCGCTGCGTGGCCGCCCGCTGTGCTCCGCCCGCCCGCCACCCCGGCATCCCACACGCCACCTCGCCTGCCTGCCGCCGCCCACCTCACCTGCCTCCCGCTGTGCCCGGCCTGCAGCCACCGAGCGCACGCTGTGCTGCCTGCTGGAGAACTACCAGACGGCGGATGGCGTGCGGGTGCCCGAGGCGCTGCAGCCCTTCATGATGGGCATCGACTTCATCCCCTTCAAGAAGGCGTTTGATGGCAAGGGAAAGCTGGTGGACCGGCCGGCAGCCAAGGCGGCGGCGGCGGCCGACGGTGGGGCGGCCATGAGCACCAGCTAGCAGGGGCGCCTGCAGCGCCTCGGCAAGATGTGCTTGGTCCACACGAGGGGGGGCGAGGCAACGAGGCGGGCGCCGCGCTGCCACCCGGCGGGGCTGCGCTGACGTTGAGCTGGGGCCCTGTGCCGTGTAACAAGCTGCCGGATCAGCGCCAGGGTTCGCATGCACACGTTGGGAATGATCAGCTCAACGGCGCCTTCCTTCCTCCCCATGCCGATTTCCACTCGAGAGTTTCGGACCGAGGCCGACTGGCGCATGTTGCACTCCTCAACCCTCCCCGAGCCCCAGAAATCGATCAATTCACTCGCCCGCAAGGGTTTGACAAACTCGACCGCCCCTCTCTTCATGCACGGCACGCCGAAACTGTGCCTAGCTGCCCTACTGCTGCTCCACGCCGGCGCCGCGCACGGTGAGCGTGCGCAGCGTTCATTGACGCTGCGGCCGAGTCCGGTGCAGGCCTTGCTTGGGATGGTGGTGTGGAGGCGGCGGGCTGTGGTTTGGCGCCGCTGCCACCGTCAAGGACAGGCCCTTGCAGTTGCCGCTTCCACCCACAATGCAACCCACACGCGGGCTGTGCATGTGCATGTGTGCAGGATCCACGCAGGTGAACAGCAGGTTGCGGATTCACTGGCCTGACTGAGCTGCTCGCCACCAGGGTCTGCCGGGCACCTCCCGCCGTGTGCTCGTCCTGCCACCATTCCTTCGGCAGGCCACCCCTCAGCCTGCCTGCCCTCCTGGCTCGCCCAAGCACAGCCACTTTGCTCTGAAGGATGCCAGTGCCCACCACTGCCGGACCGCTTCCTCCAAATCTCCATGCAGGGGGCTTCTGTGGAGACCGCCGCTGAACCCAAGTGCAGCTCCGGCTGCCTCACATGCGATGCAAAGGATGGATCCTGCACCTCCTGCCCCGCCAAGTTTGGCCTCAACTCGGCCACACCCAAGCGCTGCGTGCCGGTGAGCATCGCACATCCTCCACAGGCCGGGGCACCTGATGCTGACCTGACCCCGCTTGATGTCGTGCCTGGTGGCCCCACCTGCTGCTTGCACATGCGCTGTGCAGTGCTCCAGCGCGGCGTGCATCGACTGCGATGCGGACTACAGGCGGTGCGTGAGATGCGCCTTTGGGCTCTACCGGTACCTGGTGAGGCATGTGCCAGCCGCTGCCACCTGCATGCAAGCCTGCCCCCTGCGTGCCCAGCCGGCGTGTGCCGCTTCGCCCTGGTGCCACAGGCGCCAAACGGGACCTGCCAGTTCTGCACAGCATTCGGCGGCCCATGCGACCGCGAGCTGGGCTGCAACAGCGACGGATCCTGCAAGGCGTGTGCATGGGGTACGAATCGCTGGGGCCAGAGCTTTGTCATGATCAACGGCCAGTGCCAAGAGGCAAGGTCACATGCCATGCTCGAGTGGGCAACCTGCACATCTCAGTCCAATGAGCACACTGCTCCGCATTGCGGCGCCGCCCTGAGTACGCATTGTGGCACCCTCCTGCAGACGCCTTTGGGGTGCGATAAGAAACGCACCAGGCCAGACGGTACCTGCAAGCGCTGCAAGCCAGGTTTTGTGTTGCTGGGCAATGGCAAGTGCAAGCAGGTAACAGCGGCGGTTGGATTTGTCTGGAGGAGTCGCACCCTGTGGGCAGGAATATCGCTCTGGCGCTTTGCGATTGCCGGCAGGCGTGCCATCCCCAATCACAATCACCATGCCTTCCTGCCCCACCTGCATCCAGTGTCCAGCCAACTGCGCCATTTGCAGCACCAAGGGGGCCTGCTCCGCATGCATGGAGGGATCTACGCTTGTGGGCGGCACGTGTGTGGAGGTGAGTGGCAGGGCCGGCATGCCGGGACTGATGTGGCTGTTCAGCGCATGCCACGGCCCTTGTGCTGGCCAGCACACCATGGTGGCTGAACACAGCTTGTGTGTGTTGAAGCATCCATTCATAGCGGACATGTCACCCATGCTGCCTGCAATGCAGTGCGCTCAGCGGGACTGGAGTTACATGTGTGCTGATTGCACTGGCAACACCACGCGTTGCCGGCGCTGCATGAGAGGCATGGGCGGAGTCAAGGGTGCGGGCGTGTGTGTGCCCTGCCAGGACCCAAACTGCAACGGTGGGTGTTCAAGTAAAGGGCTGAGCGGCTGTGCATGGGCTCACTGCAGGGAGGAACTGATGCTCAGGTGATGGCCAAAGCAGCAGTTGCCAAGAGAACGTTACAGACGATGCCGTCTGATGGAGGCTGAGCCGCCTCATCCTGCCGCCACTTCCCTTGCGCGCGCCGCAGATTGCTCCCTCGACTGGTCCAAGTGCACCAACTGCCACAGCTTTACATACGATGATAATGCATATGTAGCTGTGGGCGGGCGCTGCAAGCCGGTGTGTGCGCTGCTGGGGGGGCGCATGCAGCGCGGCTGAGTGCTGCGCTGCATGGCACGGCTGCTGCTGCATGGCGCTGCCCATCTGGGGTGGGGTTCCAAGCCGCACGGCCCCCCTTGGTCGCCCCAGCTGCTGCTTTCAGGTGGCCCATACTGCTGTACTGCTGCTGGCATTCCCTTCCACGTGCATGGTTGGCCACTGTTTGGTCTGTGTGCAGTGCCGCCCGGGCTGCAGTGGCTGCCCCAGGAAGGATGGCCGCTGCTCCTGGGCTCTGGGACAGCTGGTGCCAAGGGTGTGCACGTCTGACCGCGTGTGCAAGCAGTGTGGTTGGGGCCGCCTCCGAATTGGCAAGGACTGCGAGCGGGTGAGCGGTTCCAGTGTGCAGCACGGAGCTGCCGCTGCACTGACTGGAGTAGCATGCTCGTGTTGGAGGGAGGCATCATCCACCCACACCTTTCCTTGCCGCGGGTGCTGAAATGCAGTGCAAGGTGCCAGACTGTGTGAGTTGTGATGACAATGTGTCACGCTGCCAGAAGTGTGGCTTTGACAGCGAATTCCGACTGTATCCCAATGCAGCACGAACGAAGTGTGTTAGGGTGAGTGGGCCGCCTTGCTGCTCGGCCAACGATCTTGCTGCAACTCTCTCCCCCCCTGCCCACAGCAGGCACCCGCCCCCCTGCCCCGTTGCAGTGCCGAGCCCACGCCAAATGCGTGCGCTGCAAAGGCTTCAACGGGCGCTGCCTGCGGTGCGTCGAAGGCTGGGGTGCGGTGAATGGTGTCTGCAAGAAGTGCCGCGTGGCGGGGTGCATGAAGTGCAACGGGCACGTGGAGGCTTGCAGGAATGGTTGCCCAGGGGATGATTGCGGCAAGTGGCAAACACATGAGTGGGACCCGCGCACAAGGAAGTGCGTGCTGTTCCACGACACAGCGACTGGTTGCCAGTAGGCTCTGCCCCAGTGTGCTGGCTGCTGCCACCTTCCAGCCAGCTGGCGTGCCCCTTTCACCGCTGTATTGTTGCAATTTCCACGTTTGTGTGGAGCCAGCATCACACCGCTGTCAGACGCAGGCGGCAAAGCTGCAGCAACAGCAGGGGCGCACAGTCCACCTTCCATGGCCCAGGCGCCTCAGCCCATCACTCCACAGAGATGTACTTGCTGGGAGGGATGTCGTGCCTGCAAGCCGCAGCCCCACACCGGGAGTGCATCTGTGTGCTGCATGTTTGGGAGTGGGTGCTGGACCAGGCTGGCGACCGCATGCGCAACCGCCAGCCAATACAAGCCAGTCGCCAGCCACACCTGTGTGGGTTGAGGAAGGCAAACTTGGAGGGGTTGGTGGCCTCGAAGGGCGCATGCCTCAGCCGCGCCTCCTCCGCCTGCTGCCACTCCTGCGGGCGGGCAGGCGGAAGCGGCACACCGGCTGGCTACCCAGCGCTGGCTCCCGTCTTGAGGCCGATGGAGCGACTCCAAGCTTGCTGTTGCTTTGGGCAGGCTGTAATCCTTCCCAGCAGTACGCAAAGCATGCAGGGTTGTCCTTGCGAGCGCAGCGGGTGGAGCGGGGGGCGGTGCCGCCTTGCCTTCTCGAGCGTCTTGGGGGTGTGGCCCAGCTTCTTGCCGGCACGGATGCGCATCTCCCAGAACACGTAGATGCCCGCCGCTGCAAAGCATGCATGCAGGGGAGCGATGTTCAGAGGAGGCTGGCTGCCGACGGGAGCGCGCCCGATAGGTGCCGAGCAGGCGATGCACTCCACGGGTGCCGGGCTGCGCAGGCCAGCCAGCTGCAGCCGCCGCGCCCCACCTCCCGCAAGGACTGCCAGAGCGACGGTGGGCCCCTTCACGGGCGCCTGCATGCTCTTGAAGGTGCCCGCAGGGCCGGGGCCCGGGCCGCCGCCAGCTGCAGATGTGGACATTGGTTGCGTGTCTTGGGGGGGTCGAGGGGGCAAGAGGGAGGCACGTCCAAGGCAGCAACCTAACCTTGGCATGACATGTCAAGGGCACCTTCCTGCTTTCCAGAAGGTAGCCCGTCACATCAGTCAGGCAGGCCCTCAGGGTGCTCAGCATTGGCATCACAATTCAGTGAAGGAGAGAGCAGCAGGGCGTTCACCCAGCCTCAGGCCCCCAACCACCTGCGTTGTCCAAGGCAGCTCCACATGCAGGACGAGGCCGAGCTGCACCTGCAGGAGCGGCCACCGGCAGAAGGCACGGCCCGCTGCCTTGCCCGCAGGCGGCAGCGCTGCCGCGGCCGCCACCGCCTGAATCAACCCAGCGCTCCCCCGCGCCGCATGCCGCCGCCTCGCCTGACGCAGACCTGGACCCTCCTTTCCTCAAGGACGACGGCAGCCCCGTGACGCTGGCCGACGCGCGGGCGGTGGAGGCGGAGGAGGCGCGCATGCACGGCGGCCACGTGCCAAAGGGCGGCTTTGCCTCTGCGGTGCAGGCGCGCGGGACGGGGTGTGGGCCGGCGCCATGGAGGGCGACCTCCGCTCCGCTCTGCTGGTTCAGGGGTGCCTGCTCGGCTCCCGCGGCCGCCCGCCGCCCGCTCGCCGCCTTGCTGGTCCAATGTTGCCTGCAGCTCGCTTGCCCGCTACCACGGTCCTGCTGCCGTGCCGCAGAAGGCGGCGCAGGCCAACGTGGAGGCGGGGTTCACGGACCAGCCCACCCTGCGGGAGAGCTTTGCCGCCGTGCAGCAGATGGGCCTGGCTGCGGGTGGGCGCTGGCTGCTTCTGAGGGCCTGGCGGGGCACGGCATGTCACGGGACGGGAACGGCCCAACCTCTGCTCCCCTCCCATGGTGCTGCGCCCCTCCCATACCGCTGCCGCTGCATGCCGGCAGAGGAGCTGCCCAGCCTGCAGGAGGCAGCGGCGGCGGCGGCGGCGGAGCGAGAGCAGCTGGGGCGCACGCGCAGGGGCGGCCTGGCCAGCAAGATGATGGTGGGCCGGGCCGGGGTGGCGCCGCCAGCGGCCAGGCGCCGGACCCCTGTGCCATACCCCCGCTGGGCTGCCTGTGCATGCAGGCATACACGCGCACGACTTGCCCCCCGCCCCGCAGAGCGCCGCCGCCAAGGCGGACTTGGCGATGAAGCGGGTGATCGAGGCGGGGGCGTTCACGGAGGAGGCGGCGGCGCTACTGCAGTCTGCGGAGAGCACGCTGTATGGGCAGGTGGGGTGGGGTGGGGGTGAGGGGGGCCTGGGGCCCACTTTGGCTCGACTGTTTCTGAGTGTGTGTGTGTGTGTGTGTGTGTGTGTGTGGAGGGCAGCAAGGGGCGCTGCAGATGGCAGGTCGCGTGCCGGCCAGCTGGATCGCGCGGCTGCAACCTGCGCGCGCACATGCTGGCACAGGGAAGCTGCCTGGCACAGGGGGGCTGCCCGCCGCCCTGCTCCCTGCTCCTACCCGCCGCCCGCATCCCATGCAGGTGCTGCCAGGCGGGGTGGCCAGCCAGGTGGCGAGCTATGCCAAGCAGAACCGGGAGGCAGGCGTGTGCGAGGAGTACCACCCGCGCCACAGGCAGGGGCAGCGGGCCAGGCAGGGGTAGCAGGCCGGGCAGGATGCCGGGACCCAAGGTTGAGTGCTGCGGGGCAGCTGCAGCGGCACTGGCAGCAACACGGTACAGGCTGAACGCTGAACCTGCCCGACTCGGATTCTGGCTGCACCTGAGGCTCCCCCACCTCTTGGTTGCCCTCTCTGCGCAGCCGACCAGGCGTTTGCATTTGCATTCTGTGTGTGAAAAGAGGGGGAGCACAACAAAGCCGCAAGAACGTCAAAATCCGCGGCGGCGGCAGGCAAGGCGCCCGCCGCGCCGCGTGTGTTGCTGCGTGCTGCCAGAGTGGGCGTATGCCACACGGGTGGTGTGTGGAAGATGGATGTGTGGGGTGGCCTGCCCCGCAGCGCCAGAGAGCGGCGGCGGCAGGCCGCGCGCAATGCACCGTCGGGCCGCCGCCGCCGCGGGGCACCGGTGCGTCCGTCCCGCGTGTATGCGCCGACGCACTGCAAGTACTGCTGTACTGCTGCATGTACCTCCTCATCCTCAGTACTTGATGTCGTACCCGAAGCCGAACCGGGGCGGCTTGTTGAGGTCCAGCGCCGAGAACTGGCCGCTCACCGCCAGGCGCGTCTTGGCCTTGAGCTCCTGCAGGCAGAGAGGGGCGAGTGGGCAGGGGCGGGCGGTGAGGTGGAGAGGGCAGCAGGCAGGCAGGGACGGGCAGGGATGGGGACAGGCAGGTGGGCAGGGACGGGCAGGGCAGAGGGCTGGAGCCAGAGGGAGGCGAGGCGGGCAGGCAGGGGAGGGCGGGCGCCAGCGACAGAGGCGAGCGGTGCGGTGCTGCCATGCTGGCAGGGCTGGCGGCAGCCCGCGCTGACCCTGCCGCGCACGCCACCACAATCGCAAACAACACACACACACACACACACACACACACACTACACACGCGCGCGCATGCCCCGCCGCCGCCCCGCCCTCGACCACCGGGTCCCCTCAGCTGCCTCCACCTGCTCGTACAGCACGCTGACGATGCCTGCGTTGTCCAGCTTGAGCTTGGTCAGGGCGCCGCCCTCCAGCTGCTTGGACACGCCTGGGTGGCGGGGGAGGGTGGGGGGAGGGGGCGGAGCAGGCGGGAGTGAAGGGGTGAGGATGGGGCGTCGGGTGGCAGCTTTGAAGAACGCAGTGAAGCGAGCGCACGCGAGCGTCGCCCGTTGCGGCCGCCGGCGGCAGCGGCAGGGCGCAGACGCCCCGCGCTCTGCCCAAACCGCAACTCAGAACCATGTGCACGCAGGCACCGGCCGCAGGCATGTCAAGACCAGAGTACGGGCAGGCTGGCTCACCGGTGGCAAAGGTGGTGGTGCCTGCCGCAAGGTCGCGCACCACCTCTGCGCCAATGGTGGTGTCACCGGTCACCTTGTGCGCAACCAGCGCGGTGGCTGCGGCGGCAGGGGCGCGGGGCGGGCGTGGGGGGGTCAAAAGCGGCGAGCGCGAGGCGCGCAGCCAGACGATGGCGTGGCCGGGATCGACAGACGGGGGCGCAGCCCCAGCCCATGGGATGGACGCTCCGTGGCGCAAGGCCGCGGCCCGAGCATGCTCGATGACGCAAGGCCGCGCGCCTCTGCTACGCAAGTCCACCCCCCACCCCCCACCCGCACCCGCACCCCCAGCTCACCAGCCTGCTTGTCGTTGTACAGCAGCGCCGCCTGGTAGTCGGACGCTGTGTAGCCCAGGCCCACCGTCCACTGCGGGGGAGTTGGGAGGGCAGGGGGAGGCGGGGGGAGCTGGGCATGAGGGCCGGGCTGTGGGCGGTGGATGCATGGGACGAGGTCGAGGAGCAGCAGCCACGCCCCGTGCTCACCAGCGTGCCACCCACACTCGCCAGCGCGCGGCCCCCGCCCCCCGCCACCAGGCCCCTCCCACACACGCGCCAGCACGCGCGCGGCCCCTCCTTCCCTCCCTCCCTCGCTTCCCACCACCACCGCCGCCGCCGCCCCCACCCCACCTTGGTCACCGCCGACTTGGCTGTGTCGTAGGAGGCCTCGCCCCCCACGGTCAGCCCTTCAACCCGGGGGTGGGTTGCGGCAGGCAGGGGAAACGGGTGGAAGGGGGGCCCGGGAGGCGCGCAACAACATCACACCCGGAGCCGGGGCCAGCGGCGGCGCGCGGACCGAAGGCGGCAGCCCCGAATGCCCGGCGGGGCAACCGAAGGAGCAACCGAGGGCACAACCTGTTGGGGAAGAGCCCAGCCACCGGGGCGGGTGGGGGGGGGCGGGGTCCCGGGCTCCGCCGGGGGGGCGCACCTGCCACCTTCCCCCTGGGCCGGGGGGGTAGGGGCCCCCAAGGACTTAAGGTTGGCGTGGGTGTTGGCGTAGTCAACCGACAGCTTGCCTGCAGGCAGCGGCAGGGAGGGAGGGAGGGTGAGCCTGTGTGTGTTGCCTCCTGCAAGGAGCCGCCGACCGGAGCTTGAACCTCCCCTCTCGACCTGACCAGCCTGCCCGTCAGGTCGTTGCCCACACCCACACCCACACACCACCCTGCCCCCTCTCGTCCCCACACCCAGCCCGCCCCGCCCTCCTCCCAGCCTGCCTGCCGCCCACGCCTGCCCGCCCACCCACCAGAGTCGGGGTCGGGCACGGTGCCGGCGATGCCCAGGTTCAGGCCGGGGGCCAGCTCCTTGTAGGACACAGCCACAGCAAGCTGCAGCAGGCAGGCAGGCAGGCAGGCAGGCGGGTGACGACGCGCTGGGTGGGTGGGTGGGTGCGTGTGCGCCCACATTGGGCTCAGCCACCGCGCTGCCAGCATTGCAGCAGCACAGTGCGGCACCGCCAGGCCGCTGCCCCGCGCTGCTGCTGCCGTCTCTGGCACAGCAGCGAGCAGGGGCCCTGGGGAGGTGGGTGGCGCAGCTTGCCACCGCCGCCGCAGCCGCCGCCGCCGCCCACTACCACATCACCACCGCACCTTGCCCGACTGCCCCATCGTGGCCACAACATTGTACTTGTTGGCGGCATAGGCTGCCTTGAGCGCCATCTCAAGCTTGTCATCCTTGCCCACCGCCGTCACGCTGAAGTCCTGCAGGCGGCCCCGGCAGGCGCAGCAGGAGGCGGGTCGACGGCGTGCCGCGGTGGCGGGCACGGCGGCAGGCCCCGGCAGTTGCGGGGCGCCAGCCGCCGCCTTGCGGGGGCGAGGACGCCCATGGGCAGCCGCACCGCGCCCTGCAGTGCTGTGCATCGCTGCAGCTGGCCTGCTGCTGCAGGGAGGTGAAGGCGGGAAGCGGGCTGCTCCGGTGGATGCCGCCCGCCGCCGCCGGCCCGCCCGGGCCCATCGCGCCAAACCCAAGCTGATGGCCGCTTCCACGTGCGGCCTACATCCCACCCATGCCATCCCCGGCCTGCTGGGCCCCGAATGGGCTTCGGAGAGCCCACGGCACCCAGCACAGGTCGGTCATCCTCCCACCCGCTGTCCTTATCGTGCCGCTGCGCACTCACCACGCCATCGGCGGTCTTGCTGGACAGGTTCAGGACCTTCTCATACTGGAATTTGCCCGTCTTGGCGCCATACAGCAGCTCTGCACGTTGGAGCGGCAGTGGGGTGTCGGGGAGGCGCCCCGACAGCAACCCTGGGGTCTGCCAGGACTGGTGCAACGCGGGGCAGGCCGATCGCGACGTGCCGGCGTCTCACCCTTCGCATTGGTGCCCAGGCTGGTGAAGGCTGCGGGAGCCATCGTTTCGGCTGTAGGGCACCGAGAAAGGATGGAGGAGCGAGGGGCGGAAGGCGGGCGGCGGGAGGCGTGAGAGGGATCAAGCCCAACCAGCCAAACGCAAAGCACGCAGCAGGAGCGCCCACTTGCACTGCCAGATGCAGGCGAGCTGATGGAGTGTTTGCAAAAGATCGGGGCTGCAAATGTGTAGCAGCACCTGGTAGCGGGCGGCAGGCGGCGGGACCCGCCGCAGGCACAGGCATGTGGAGAAGCAGCAGCGAACAGGTCAAGAAGCCGTGGCTGCAGAACTGCAGCGGTGCCACGAGCAGAGTGAAATCCCGCCTCTTGGCTGCGCGTTACTACGCACCACGCAGCTCATGTTTGCCGCGGCGCGCGCCAGCTGCCGCCGAATGCCGCTGTGCCCATCCAGTGGCCTGCTGCTGCAAAGCTGGGCGGGGCCGCTCCTGCAGGCATCGCCGCAGAATGGCTGAGGGATCCACAAGACACCGCCTGCCAAGCAAGAACATGCATGTCTGCAGTCCACGCACTGCCGCATCAAGTGGCAGCCGTGGGCACCAACCTGCACCTAACCGTCTCGGCTCCAGCGCCGCTGCCGCCTTCACGTCTGCTGCCGGGGGTGGCTGGCCTGTGGCCACCCCACCGCTGGCGCTGCTGCTGCTGCTGCTGCTGCTTGCCCCTGGCTCCTTCTTGTCTGCGTTCATGGTCCTGCCCGTCTCTGACGCGACGTAGAACGCCATCTTGAACACACCCCACACCCCCACCGCAGCGATGAACACGGCGCCAATGGCTGCAGCGCAGGAGAGGGGCAGGCGCAGATGCAGGGGGTGGTTCGAGGGTATGCCTGCAGGGCTGCTTGGCCTGGCTAGCGGGGTCAGGCACTCGATTCAGCGAACACCAGCCTGGGCGGTGTTGCAGGAGGACGGCTCACCTCCGGCGCCCATGGCACCCACTGTCGCAAACACATTGGGAGGTGGCGGCAGCGGCTCCTCAGGGTTAAATCCTGCAGGCAGCACACACAGTGAGAGGCTGCTGCAGGAGCAATACCCTGCAAGGAACGCGGAACAGCGCCAGACGCCAGACGGCAGCCCATCGCCTGGCGGCCCTCACCTGGCTGCCCGGCGCCAGGGGGTGGCTGGGTCTCGCTCGACAGGCCTCGCTTGCCGGCTCCTGGCGCAAAGCTGCTGCGCCGGGCAAGCCTGCTGCACACTGCACTGCGGCAAAGCATCGGAGGCAGCGGCTGGCAAGGTTGTGCTCCCAGTGAATTTTCCAATGGTCCAGGACTTGTGTTCCAGGCTCCGAGAGCCTTGAACTGCCATGAAGGGCACACTGCCAGCAGGGCAAAGATGCAGGCCAGCCGGCTCTCTGCCCAAGCTTACATCAATTGAGCGAGCTTGGGATTGCCTAAATCCGGTGGCAAACTGCCCACGGGGTTTGAAAAGCGGAGTGAGCCTCTGCTGCAAAAGTTGACCGGCAGTAGGAGGTGTCGAAACGCGGGGAGAAGCGGCAGCATGCCGCTGCTGCGCAAGGTGAATACATCGGGACAACCAGCAGGAGCGCCGTGACCCGAAGCGTGGGCAATCGTCGCTGCACCACTAAACCTTTGCTGCCCGTTGCTGCAGGGCTCCCAAGGGGCAACAGCAGAGCGGGGACGCTCGCCCTCGAAGACTGCAGCGGCGGGCCGACCAGCATCCAAGGGCAGGTCCAGCCAAGCCGACCCGCGCAAGACGCCGACACCGGTGCCAGCGGGCGCGCAGCAACAGACGCCTGCAAGCGCGTTGGCAACAGCAGCTGACGACTATGCCATGGTGCGTGGTGGTTAAAAGGTGCAGGGGACGGACTGGTGGATGCACAGAGGCGTTGGCGTGTGCCGAGCCGCTCAGCCTGCATGGCCGCCCTATGGCCCTGCCTCCTCACCTGCAGCGGCGCACCTTGCCTCTCCCCATCCCTGCCCGTTGCCTGCAGCCCGTCCGCGAGGTGGTGCGGCCCGCCAACCAGCTGGCGCTGTCGGCCGGGGAGCTGGAGGAGGAGGTGGGGCGGTCGCTGACGGCGGGCAACCCCACGGCGCCCGCCAACCTGGTGCGGTACAGCTTCCGCGAGCGAGGGTACCGCGCGGAGCCCATCATCGACCAGCAGCTGCAGCACTTTGCGCTGGGCGGCTGCCTCATGCACTGCGAGTCCGAGGAGGCGGCGCGGCAGCGGCGGCGCGAGTCGCAGGCCGCCGCCGCCGCCGCGCGCTCGCGGCGCGGCACAGAGCAGCAGTCGCGGCGCGCCACGGGGGTGGCCGCCGTGCGGGCCAGCGAGGCTGGGGCAGGCGCGGCGCCGCTGAGCAGCGAGGCCTCGCTGGGACCTGGCGCCCTGGATGACGACGCGGCCACCACCCGCCTGCGCAACCAGTTCAACTTTGCAGACCGGGCGGCGCAGACGGGGCACCACCCGCCCCGCGACAGAGCCACCAGGACCGAGCCACCCCCCACCGCCGTCACCGCCGGCTCCTGCTCCCGCTGGGAGATCTATGAGGCGTATGTGCAGGACCAGGAGCGGCAGCGGCAGACCGAGGAGCTGGCGCGCCAGAAGGCGCAGGTGGCGCGCAAGGGCAACCAGCAGGCGGCGGCGGCCATGGCGCAGCGGGCGGCGGAGCTTGCGCTGGCGCCCGCGCAGTGGGTGGGTAGGGTTATCGCGTGGTGGTTGGCGGTGGCGGGTGGTGGGCAGCTGGGATGCCCGTGGCATGGCATGGCAGGCGGGTGGCAGGGAGGGTACCAACCAGGGCCTGGTCCCGCTCCCTTGTGCCTGTGATGATCAAGCCCCAGCTCACCTGCGCTCATGTCGGCCTGCTGCAGGACCTGCGGGGCGGCGACGGCCTGGCGGCGCTGCCGGGGCAGGCTGCCTGCCTGGTGGAGCGCATGGTGCAGCAGAACCTGCTCAAGGATGTGGCCATGGACTTCAGGGTGGGTGCCTGGCTGCCTGATGGCAGGGCATGCACGGACGGCCACGTGGCGGGATGGAATAGCAGCCTGGCTGTGCGCCCAGCCTGATTCCAGCCGCCTGTGCTTCTGTGTCGCATGCCACTGCATGTGCCTCCTCATCTCCCCGGCTGGCCCTCGCCATGGTGCCGCCACCTGGTCCCCACTGCGCTCTCACCCTGCCTCCCTTCTGCCATGGCCTCCTCTACCTCCCGGCCTGCTGCGCAGTACTGGGATGACCCTGCCGACGCGGTGGCGCCAGAGGAGGGCACACTGCTGCCGCTGTGGGGAGAGAAGGGCGAGAGCTTCACCAGCCCGCGGGTCAAGCGCCGCGCGGTGACCGCGCTGTGCTGGAGCCCCCGCTACTTCGACCTCTTCGCCGTCGGCTACGGCAGCTTCGATTTCCTCAACCCCACCACCGGCCTGGTGTGCTGCTACAGCCTGAAGAGCCCGGGGCAGCCAGAGTTCAGCTTTGGCACGGCGGCGGGGGTGATGTGCCTGGACTTCCACCCAGACCACCCCAGCCTGCTGGCCGTGGGCTGCTACGACGGCGCCGTGGTCATCTTCGACCTGCGGGCAGGCAAGCTGCGCAGGGGTGATGCTGCAGCGCCGCACGCAGGCATGACACACAAATTGAGGAGCATGGCAGAGCTCCTTGTCTTGTCCTCATGTGCCTGTCTGCTGTGCCTTTGCACTCCCCTCTGCCTGCCTGCAGCGGGCGACAAGCCGGCGTACCAGTCCACCCCCCGCAGCGGCAAGCACAGCGACCCTGTGTGGCAGGTGTGCTGGCAGCGCACGCACAGCCACGAGCTGGCGCTCAGCAGCATCAGCACCGACGGCCGCGTCACGGCCTGGACCGTCAACAAGAACGAGCTGTCGCACCAGGACGTGCTGCAGCTGAGCACCCTACGCGCCAGGGAGCGACTGGTGCCGCCGCTGCCGCCAGCGGCCGCGGCGGCCGCGGCGGCGGAGCAGGCGCAGGCGCAGCCGCAGCCGCTGCAGCAGCTGCAGCAGCAGCGGTCGGACAGCAGCGGTGGGTCGGAGGAGGAGAGCGGGTCTGTGGGAATTGCAGGTATGCCTTGCTGCGGCAGTCTGCTCTACCCCTGGCCCTGAAACTGAGCGCCGCACTCCCTGTGCGGCTTCTCGTCGCGCCCTGGCCTGCCTGCCCCCCAAGCTCCGGCCCGCAACCATGGGTCGTCCCAGCCCCGCACTGCCCCTGCGCTGCCGCGCCTGCCCTTGCAGGCGGCTGCTGCTTCGACTTCAACCGCGAGCAGGAGTTCCTGTTTGTTGTGGGCAGCGAGGACGGGTCGCTGTACAAGTGCTCCACAGCCTACTCCAGCGAATACCTACAGGTGGGGCAGGGATGATGGGTGGTGGTGGTGGTGGTGGTGGCTGTGGTGGCGGTGGCCAGGTTAAGTTTGGTGTGGTGTGTTTGCGCGTGTGGAGACGCATAGGCATCTCGGCATGGGCACGGCACAGGAGGAGCAGGGAGAGCTCTGGAGCTCCAGTGCTGGTTGACCATGCGAGCAGCCACCGACAGCCAGGCAAGGGAGGCAACCCCAACCCTGCCCCCCCCCTTGCAGGCCTACCAGCCCGGCCACCGCCTGCCCGTGTATGCGGTGCGCTGGAACGGCCTGCACCCGCGCACCTTCCTGTCAGCCGGCGCCGATTGGAAAGTCAAGCTCTGGGACTCGGTGCTGCCAAAGGTGCCAACTGCTGGGGGAAGGGCGGGTGCCTGCTGAGGCTGGGCTGCAGCACGGTAGCAGACCGTGCAGGGCAGGATGCACACTGCCCGCGAGCCTGCGCCTGATCAGGCATATCACCCGCCTGCCCCTGCCTGCCCCTGCCCCCGCCCGTCGCCCGCAGCCCGTGCTGAGCTTCGACCTGCGCGCCCCCGTGGGCGACGTGGCGTGGGCGCCCTTCTCCGCCACCGTGTTTGCCGCCGTGACGGACGCGGGCAAGGTGCACGTGTTCGACCTGGCGCGCAGCCGCGCGGCGGCGGCCTGCGTGCAGCGCGTCACCCGCAAGGCCCGCCTCACCAAGCTGGCCTTCAACGCCCGCCACCCCGTGCTGCTGGTGGGCACCGAGCATGGCGGCGTGGTGTGCCTCAAGCTGTCGCCCAACCTGCGCCGCGACTTCGCACCAGGTGGGCGGCCGGCTGGGTGTGCAAGCGGCGGAGCAGGAAGTGCCTCCCTGCTGTGCTGTGTGGGGCCGCACGTTGGCACAGCCAGCACGGAGGGTGGCAGCTGGGCGGCGACTCTGCCCGCCCCGCCCGCTGCCCTGCCACACATGCCCTGCCGCTGCCGCCGTACCTGCGGCGCAGGCGCGCCAGCCAGCGGTGGCGGCGCCACCCTGGGGCGCAGCGACTCGGAGGCGGCGGCTGCGCGGGCGGCGGAGGCGCAGCGGCTGGAGGCGGTGTTGGTGCTGGCGGCCAAGTGCAACCAGGCGCTGAGGGAGGAGGACTGGGAGCTGATGTGAGGGGGGCATGGGCCATGTGCGACAGGCAGGCTTGCACAGGGCTGTGCAGCAGGCACAGGGCTGCGCAACCTTGCAGGCAGGCAGGCTGGCAGGCTGGCATCCACGCACACGCAATCTGACACCGTCTCAACGTCCCTATGGGTCCATCCCTTGCTGCTGACCGCATTGTTTTGACACTGATAACTAAACTCGCTGTGGCAAGTGATGAAGACAGCAGGCAGGGAGCAGCAGGGAGGCACCGACACAGTGACATGCAAAACACGGGGAGGCAGGGGCAACTTTGCGCTAGTGATTACTCAGGGCTGCGGCGGGGGAGGCGGGTACTGCTGCTGAGGCGCCGCGGATGGCCCAGCCTGGATCGTGGGATCTGCTGGCGCCGTGGCTGCCGGCTGCTGCGCCACCGCCTGGGCCTGCTGCTCGTAGCCAGACGCCGCTGCGCCGTATGGTGCTGCTGCCGCCGGTGGCAACGGCGCTGCCGCTGCTGGCGGCGCTACCGCTGCTGCTGGCGGCGGCAACGGCACAGCAGGCGCCTGGGCAGGCGGCGCAAAGCCGCTGGGCGCCAGCAGGGCGGCCTCCACGGCCTGCATGACCTCCGGTAGCTGCACGGCCTGGCCGGCTGCCAATCCCTGCGCACCAGCTGGAGCCCCGTCGGCCGCCGCTGGTGCGGGCTGTGCAGGCAGGGACGCCGGCTGGGGAGGCGCAGGGGCCGCCGCCGTCTGTTCCCGGCCAGTGCCGATCACCTGCTGCACGGCGGCAGGTGCCTGCAGTACCGCCGGGGCCAGCTGCTCGAAGGCCAGCTGCAGCGGCGAGAGGGCAGCCTGCTGCTGCACGGCAGCAACATCTACGTCCATCGGAGCGGCCACAGCTTGTGGCGGCTGAGGCGGCGGCTGCACAGGCGCGTCTGTGGACGCGGGAGGCGGCTGCACCTCCCGAGGCGCAACCTCCACAACGGCCACGCCAGCCAGTGCCTGCGGCGGCTCAGCCGGCACCGGCACGGCTGCAGCGGGCGCCTGCTGCGCTGCCGGCGCCGCCGCCTCCTGCTGTGGCTCGGCCTTGGGAGCAGCCTGCTGCTGCGTCGCCTGCTGCGGCGGCACGGCCGCCTGCGGCGCCGCCACCGCCACCGCCGCCAGGCCCTGCCCACCGCCGCCCTCCTCCTGGGGCGCCGCCGGCGGCGGCTGCACCGTGGCAGCTGCCGGCGGGGCGGCGCTGCTGCCGCTGCCGCCGCTGCCGCCGCCGGCGCCGGCGCCGGCGTGGTGGCGTGGCGGGTGGTGGTCCTGGTGCTGCTTCATGCGTTCGTATAGGTGCTCCAGCTGCTCCCCGCTCTCCTGGTTCTCTGCAGGGGGGGCAGCAGCCAGGGGGCAAGCAGCAGGGTGCGCGCAGGCTATCAGCACAAGGGGCCGGCTCAGGCGGGGCAGTAGTCTTGCCAAGGGCGAGAGGGGCGAATGGAGGGCCAGGCCGCAGGATGCGACAGCGGGGCGCCCGAGAGCAGCGCAGGGGCAGGGCGGAAAATAAGTGCGGTACCGTGGGTGGCCGCCCACCACCTGTGTACCTACCTGTGTAGTGACTCACAAACTCCCACAGGCTGTGGCGCAGCTCCTCGTCCCCCACAGCCTCCTGCTCAATCCTGCGCGCATACGCACACACACGCGCCCAGGCAGCCAAGCAGGCGGCCGGGTCGGTCGAAAGTTGGCGGCCCGCCAGCCGGTGATGCCCTGTCAGGAAACAGACAGAAACACACACACACACACACACACACTCCGCCGCCGCCGCCGCCGCCGCCAGGCAGCGCCGCCGCCCCTCCCTCACTTCTCGCCGATGGCTGCCAGGTACTTCTTCGTCTTCTGCACCACCAGCTTTGCATCCATCTCCCCGCCCTTGCGCTGCAGGCAGCAGCGGGCGGGGGTGCAGCCGGTGTGACGCCAGCCGCGGCGGCCGCAGCGCGCAGGACGCGCGGCGCCGGAAGCTATGCACTCGTCTCTGCCCCGCC